GGCGAGGCAATTAAGGAAGTCTGTGGAAGACATTGAGAATACTCCCATTTCCTGCGTAAGTTGGTTTCATTAGTCCAATGAGCTGCTGGAGCAGACGCACAAAATGAAAGATGCGAATTAGAGGCGTGCAAACGGACAGAAAACAGGAAACCCAAAGACAGGTGTTATTGGAGGTCAGATTGAATGACACCGTATGTGACAGGCAAACTTAACCCTTTTCCCAATTCTACCTCTGTGCCTGGCCGAAATCTTTGACCTAGCCTTTAATCAAGCTTAGCCAGAAGCAGAAGCATGTCTATCTAAATCAAATATGCACGCATATTTAGTAATAGGAATGAAGAACTTACATATTCGATTATCGCCACTAAGTTTTATTTAAACCCTTCTCTGCTGTTCTCATCGCCTCCTTTCTTAGCACTTAACCACAAAGCCTTAGATTCAAACACAGGTCCAATGCCTCAGACGCTCAATTATTTCAGGTGTCTGCAAACGCTCTTTGGCTGCACCGAAAACACCACTATGTAGCACTTTTCTCGTACCCACGGGTATTCTAAATCTCCATAATAGTAATTATGGTACTATCACTACTACTAGTAGTATTATTAGCAATAAGAAAGATTCTGTCGGGTTGATGAAGACATATTTCTCTGAGATACTGAGTTCTGGATGACCTTACACAACCATCAAAGTGGGATTTAGCACGAGGTTCTGAGACAGACATAAAGCTAGTAGAAACGTATCAAGACTGAAATGTCCGATATTGATCAAGTAAACAGATGTCTGGTGATTCTCGAGTTCAACATTAACTTCACAGTAAAAGACGAGACAAAACGCATATGATTTGCAGATTGTAGTTGTTTCCCGTTTACCATATTTTCTGGACTATAAAGCGCACTTAAAAGCCTTTAATTTTTTTCAAAAAACGATAGTGCGCCTTATAACCCGGAATGCCTTATAAACCGACTAGTTCTGGTTACTGACCTCGAAGTGCTTTTGTGTGGTACACGCCGCTGTGTTCATCCGCAATTTGTAAGGGCTTTTAAGGGTGCTTTATAGTCCGGAAAATATGTAAGGACCTTTGCCTACTAGATGTCGTCACTGATCTTCCTTTATTTAATCGACGACCATTGTTGTTATGTTAGTTGACGAGATTTATCTTCTCTTCCAAGTTTGTTGACTATGGTCCTGTCTATTTGACGCATTCTGCTGAAGTATTTTCTCAATTTGCAGTATACTTATTTAAGCTCCCTCCTTGCGCGGTGTTAACTAGTTCCTGATGGAGAAAAATCGTGAAACGTGTGTGTTGGATTCGGCTGAAATGAAAGATCATTTGCTCTTTGGTTATTTTCTTGTAGGTTAGCGTTTGGGGTGAATACGGACGTATGGACAAGAAGGTGTTCCTGGGGATGTGTGAAATTGTGCTGGATGACCTTAACCTCCGTTCAATTGTCTTCGGCTGGTATAAGCTG